TTTTATCTTGATAATTTCAGTTATTTTTTTCACGTGGCCATATGACAATAAATTTATATAAGGTCTTAAAATTTTATCTGATTTTTTTCTCCGCAATTTTTCGTTGTTATCCATGTATGCACGTAAAGTTGGAACCGTTTTTGCCATTAATTTTATGAGACACATAAAATCACCTTCATTCAAATTAGAACCCCAAAAGGCTATATTACATTTATAAGGTACATAATGGCATCGATAATATTATGAACTATATTAGGATTTCCCATGATTATATCAAGCTTATTTGATAGCAAATGATCTTGAATGCGTTTATTTGCAAGCCAAGTCATGTTTGCATATTCACAATCTTTATGAAGAGAAGATGCTTCGTGTCTCTCTAAGTCACGCTTTATGTTTTTCCAATTATTTACCCCAAATTGCGTCTAAAAATATTGGACTTAGGGCCATTAAACATAATACAATATAGACAAAAGACTTTGTCTAAAGTAGTGCTATAAGATAGCCAATTTCTGGGGTTGAGGGAACCATCAATATTAACCTTTCTATAATAGGTTATATTCATGCTCCTGTTTAAAAAGTAATAAAAAAAAAACTGGTATAGAAAATGGATGGGTAAAAATTAATGAAAATTAAATATTATTTAAAACCTCTTGAGAGTAACAGGATATTGAAATTTATTTGTACATGGCTGACAAGGGCCTACAGCAATTATGAAATTAATCAAAATATTTGTCATCCTAAATAATTTGAAGTGAAATGGGTCATTTGTTCCTTCTTTTTGTATAGCTGAATAAGACTTGGACTTTGAATATCCTCATAATTTATTCCCTTCAAAAGTTATTATATAAATTTTATTTAAATAAAATACCTAATGCAAAGTAAGCGCCTCACTAGAACTGGGGATTGGATGAGGAGATATTACAATTTGTGAATCTTCAATAACTGAGATTTTCTATAATTAAAGAGGAGTTTAATTTCTTTCCTTATGAAAAACTATATTTTTAATAAAATTTTAGCCAAATGGTAATTTTTTGTTTAACTTCATTATAATTAAGTTTTTAATAAATGTTGGAAATATTTGAATAACCTCATAATCATAATTTATTTCCTTCAAAATTTATCATATAATTCGTATTTTAAATACCTCATCATGCAAAGTAAGCGCTTCACTGGAACTGGGGATTGGATGAGGAGATAATACAATTTGTGAATCTTCAATAACTGAGATTTTCTATAAATAAAGAGGAGTTTAATTTCTTTCCTTATGAAAAACTATATTTTTAATAAAATTTTAGCCAAATGGTAATTTTTATCTTAACTACATTATAATTAAGTTTTTAATAAATGTTTTAATTCTACAAGAATACATGATTGAGAAAACAGGCATTAAAAATATTATGAAGTCCAACATAAAGTTATCAGGTTACAATGGCAAGATGATACAAGTGATAGGTACAGCAGTGAATGTAGAATACAAAGGGAATTCACAAATTTTGAACGTGTTAATCATAAACATTAATAAAATGTCTTTGTTAGGAAGATCATGTTAAAACATTTTGAAAATATACTTGAAAGATTCATAGGCATGATAGATGCAGATTAATATAAAAACTACATTATATTAACTTAATAAGTTTTTTTAATACTTTGGTTTTAAATTTTTATTATTAACCTATTAAACATATTGCTAAATTGAACTTTATAAAGTATATATAGATATAAAAATAGTGTGATAAACAGTTAAAAAAAATATTTAATAATAAAATATATAATTTATATTCTCTATACCCTGACTACTTTAATATTAATATTATTCTGGTAAAATTTTAAATAAAAATCAGTTTCTATTAATTCACAAATTTAAGGTATATTTTCAATAATATTTATTGTCTTTAGTTACAATAATAAATAAAAAATATTACTTTTTGGAAGTAAGATGTTATTGTCTTTTTTTGCAACTGGGTTTCAACTCCATTTGTGATATTATATGGAATATCACAATTTAAGGATATCCAATTATTATTATCTCTTTTGATGGCTACCTTTGTACATATCAGTTGGCTTGACATGAGGATGTTGATGTTTATGTTTATAATGTTCATGTATCTTGTCGTCACTTCTTATTTTAGAAGTTTTACAGTTAAGGTAATTACACTTTACCTTAAATAAGGTTCTGTTACTTGGCATCTAGAAAGAAATAATTATTATTATAATATAATTTTTTACATATTATGTTTTTTATTATTCTTTGCTTGCTGATATAAATGTTTTTAAGCATGTCTCAAAAATTAACTAAAATTTATCCTGCTCTAGAAATTTATTAAAAAACATAATATAAATATATTAACCTCTAAGAAAAGTACCAAATAGGAAATGTGTAAATATTAACTTGATAAAATGGTAAATGAAAATGGTTGACAAATAAAGTTTATATAATTTATTAATTGACATATATCTTTACTTTAATTGACATTTGTCAGAAAATCAACAATAACCATCATAATCGTATCAATTAATGGATTTAAAAAGATTATAATTCAAATAAATTACCCCAAAAAATCAATATCAACCCCCAAAAATGCCAATATATTTTGAAGGCATTTGTCTCCTACCCCCCCCCCCCCTCGGCCATGTAGACGCTGGTTGTAGGGAATCCCAAAAACAAATAATGCAGTTGAATGTAATTTTTTTTTTTAACTTTCTAATTTTTGATCATTATTACAATTTACTTTTCTATTATTTTTTAAAGGTTGGCACAGAGCATTCTCATCTCTCCTATCATCGCACTCCCTCTATTTGGAAATTTTTAGATGCTCTACGCTTAAAACAATCGTTAGCCGAAGCAAATATTGAACAATATATTTCTGATACAACCCTCGATATCAAGAAAGGTGTATCGGAATACAGCTGAAAATATTATATTAATTGTATCTGACTATGTAAATAGCCCGATTAATGATTATTTAAGGGGGATCGCATATAATTTTAATTTACAAACATATTAATATTATCTATTTTTTTTAAATGTTCTTTTAAACATATTTTTAGCATGTTTAATATAGTATATTAATATTTTTTATAGTCATTTTATGATAAATAAATAAATTATGCGTTAATTGGTTTTTGATTATTTAAAAATAGAAAAAATCAGCCTAAACTTATATATTTTTTAAAATGATTAATAAAATTAATTTAAGGATTTTGCTTGAAATCAAAGATCAAAAAAATTTCATAACGCTCAAATGGAAGGTAACTCACTGAAACTCGGGGAAATATTTAATGTTAGTTTTTTTTAAATATTTTTATTTCTTTTTTTTAATATTTTTTTTATTTAATAATAAATATAAGAGCGTGTGGATATGGGTGGAAATTTTTTGCTGTAATAATAATTAAAAGTTTCATTACTCAAAAGTTTTAAGAATTCCATATTTTATTGTCAAATTTTCACAATTCTTTAATTTTACATTAAAAATGGAAAAGGTGTGTATGTGTACTATATTAAATGCTATTAAGTTAGGACTATATTTTTTTTATGAAAATTTTCACAATTCTTTAATTTTACATTAAAAATAGAATATATTACTTAAAAATTTTAAAAAGGCGTGTGCCATATTGAATGCTACTAATTTAGGCCTATTAAATGAAATAATTAAGCAATTTATTTGAATAAACATAATATATAAACTGATAATATATAGATATATATAATTTTAAGGAAAAACATAAATAGTTCTATATAAATTTATATATCAATTAAAAATTTAATTAATTTAGTTTTAATATTACGAGAGTAAGAATATGCACATATATATAAATGAGAGGAAGATTTTCTTCTGGAGAATTAAAAATAAATTCTTATTGCATCAAAATCTAAAATAGACCAAATTAACGAAAAAAATAAACAATTCTTAAAACGTTTGAGTAATGAAACTTCGAATTATTATTACATCAAAAAATTTCCACCAATATCCAGACGATCGCATATATATTATTTTTTTAATAAAAAAATTTGTAATTGTTGATTGATTTAAATTTGAATATTATTTATTTTATATGTTGATTGATTTAAATTTGAATATTATTTATTTTATATATTAACTATTTAAGTTGTTCAATTAACTTTTAAATTTTATATATATATATAATGTTTTTGGATGAAAAATAGTTAGTAATAAATTTGATTTAAACTTAAATAGTATTTCTTATATGGTGCCCCGGTTACGGTGGTACGTTTTTTTGTTAAGTAAAAAAAAATAAAATTTAAAAATATCCTTACCTTGATTTCTTTTGTAAAAATAAAAAGCAAATTCGTCGTTAGATATAGGAGATGATAAAGGACAAATAAAATTTTTTGACTTTTCTTTTCGATAGTCAAAATTTTATCCAAATTTACAAAATTATAAAAGGTAAAAAAAAATATATATATATAAAAATAAAAGAGTATATATACATATAAATAAAAGAGTTATATGATAAAAAATATTATGTTTTGTTTTAAAACTTACGATATACCTCAACACGTTATTATTGATAATATGTTAAAAGAAATGGGAATATCTAAAGAATTTTCGTATGTACGTGATAATAGGACAAACGAAATTGTTTTTTATTTTAAATCTTTACGAAAAATGATTAATGCATTTATGTCTCTAAATTTTATGCTTTAGATATTTGACATTATATTTATAGGAAATTTTTCCTATATTTCATTATTAAATATAAATTTACGCAATGTTTAACTTATAGAATATCAATAAATTTTTTTTTCTAAAAACTTAGTCACGAATTAGTATTAAATTTTTCACAGACAAATAATATTGAAACTTAGTGGATTAAATCCTCTTTACGAATTCGAATTAGAATTTTTATAGATAAACTATTAAAACTTAGTGGACCATATTCTCTTGATTAAAATTAAAATTTGATTTTAATTAACTACAATGTTTTGCTTTTACGATTTTAAATATTGAAAGTTTACTTTACTCAAATAAAATTATATCATGGACGAAAAATTAACTCTTACACACACTCAATATGTTCCTAAATTTCCCAAGTTATCAGGAAAATTATCTGAGACTTATCTTAACTTAATAGAAACATACTTTGAAGGACATATTGAGTCAGACTCATCTAAAGTTAGGACACTACTATGCAGCTTACCAATTGAGATTGTAGACCAAGTTACGTCGATATGTTCTAAAGCACAGTTAAAAGACTTTAATATTGTTTTTGGTAAATTGAAACTGTTAATTCCAAGTGAGGACATTAATGTAAATATAAAGAATTTTAACTTAGCGGTACAAGGTGCCGAGGAGTCCTTCCATACTTTTTATTTTAGAATTTCAAAACTTCATAAAAAATGCGATTTTGATAACGATACAAGAATGATTGAGAAATTAATAACTTGTTCTTTAAATGATAATATTAGAAGGAAGTTAAATAAACATAAGCACGAAGGTTTAGATAAGATGATGAAATTAGGAGTGGAGTTAGATGGCAGCAATATTAAACCAGACGTTAGCGATACAAATTATGTAGATAATGATAAAAAATTGGATAAAAATAAAAAATTTTACAATTTAAACATGGATAAAATACCATGCAAAAGTACTTTTAGTAATAATGAGAATAATTCTAATGATTATGAACATAATAATTTTAAAGAAAATAATTTTAATTATAATGGACGTAACACTCATAAGGAAAATTTTGATTTTAAGAAGAGGAATTATAATGATTTTAGGCCTAATTATAATGCTAGCCGAAACTATCAAAACAATATTTTTCGAGACAGTGAGGGTAACTCTAGAAATTTTCGTAATAACCAATCTTCGAATAACAATTCAAACTATTACGGAAGAAACTCCATGTGGCACAACAACAATTATAATAGAAATAATGCCTGGCAATACAATAACAATTCAAACAATTATGGTAGAGGTACTTGGCAAAACAATAACTATAATGGGAGAAACAATTCCTGGTCTTACAACAATCAAAGAAATCAGAGTCTATATAATAATCGATATGGTTATCAATATCAATCCTATAATAACAACAATAATGGAGAAAATAATACGTGGAAAAATTATAATCAGAATATTAATCAAAGAAAACCATTACAATATAATGACGTGAATCAAAGTAACATCAATTGTAACATGAACATTGAAGAGATTGTTGAAGAAAAATATAACCCTACACAAAATAATAATGGTAGTGATTTTAATATCAACAATTTAACTGAGTTTAAACTTAATGATAATGCGTTCATGACCACTTTAAAAGTAAATGATGATGTTGTTACTATGCAGGTTGATACGGGATCCAAGTTTACAATTATACCTCATGAAATGGCTAAACAAATAGGTATTAAAGATCTTAAAAAGTCCACTCTACAACTCACAGCTTATGATGGAAACTTAATCAAAATTATTGGCGTCACTCAAGTTAAAGTAACCTACGAAGGTATCACCAAACACTTGCAAGCCGTGATCGTTAAATCTAATAAAAATGCGTTATTGGGACGTATGTGGATTAATGCTTTTAGTAATATTTTGAACAAATTTATAGCAAACATTGATACCAACTATGAAGATGAAATAAAGAAATTAATAAAAGATTGCGAATCTAAACTGACTAAAAAACCGATC